TTGGGAGCGATCGCCTTGTCAGTGTCTTGCAGTCGACTGTGTCACGAATATACAGTCGAACGGATACTCGCTATGCTTGCAAAACACTTTCTTCCGTACCGGTAAAACTTCTCGAAGGGGCGTAAACACTTATCTAGTTGTGTGGTCAGCCGTTCACGGATGCACAGTGGGTCGGCTGTTGAATTATTTCGTGAGCTGCCTCCACGTTTTTCATTTTCTATGAAGGCACACGGCGTCTGTTTCGGTAGTTGTTCACAAAATCTATCAGGACGTAGCCACTTCGTCGTTGAAGTTCTCTTCAGTGCACCGTTCCACAATAAATGCAACTTTGTCAAAAAACCTGCTAAACGGCTGAAACTATCAAATAAATCTAGTAAAATTTCAAAAAGAGTAGAAGAAAACAGCGAACGTTGGAGTGAGCACGACAACATCACCAAACACAGCAAAAAACATGCAAACTGTCGACATAAGAAAAAGTGACATGCGTCGACGGGAGTTGCATCAATGTGGCCAAACGAAAAACATGTATTTTCACCAAAAGCTGCCGGTGCCTAAACAAACACTGCTACGGTTTGTGTTTGGTTGCTTCTGTGCAAACTGTTATTCGTTTCTTGCAGTAAAGCTAATTTATTGCTGCTCGAGGTAATAATTTTGTAGCGAAAATTTACCTACCCTCACACCCTAAGGCTATACTTGACAAACAAAGGGCTCATTTCATAAGGTGCCCTCATGGCAGAATAAGGGAGGTTTCCGAAACGCACCTTGTACTTTTATTATACTTTTCGCGTGCTTTCATAAGTAGCCTTACCACCATGAGTTAAGGTTGGTTTACAAATACGGACGTAAGACTTGTATCCAGTTTTTGATTGTTTTACTTTCTAATGTTTGCTTCTCGGCGATAAGCAATAAGTGTTCATTTTGAAAGGTTTATTTTTCCTCCTTATCCTAAGTGCAGACATTGAGATATTTAGTAAACTACTTGTTTACTAACGTTTGACAAAACCTAACACCCGAGTAGAGGGTTTTACGCAAGTTTATTTTAGCATTGGTGTAGGCTGACTGAAGGCTTCCGCATAAACCTCCTGTAATTTACAGTATACTTGTTGGTACGCGCCTCAGTGTAGAAAAGTTTTTTGTATCTCTGTTTTATGTGCAAGTTGAGTTAACAGGGAAGGCTGACTAGAAGCCTCGGTATAAACCTTCGGTTTTGTGCAGTACACTAGCTCGTATGCGCATTAGTGTAGAGTAAGCTTTTGTTTCTCTATTTGTTTGGTGTATTACGCGCAAGTTGATATAAACGGAGAAGTCGGCTGAAGGTAGAAAGCCTCTGTTTAAACCTTACGTTATTGCAGTGTAGTGTAGGTTTTGCTTCTCTGTGCGTTTTATGCATAAGATTATTTCAGCAGTAGACTGAAAAAATGGCCTCCGTATGTAAACCTTGCGTAATTCGCAGTTTACTTGTTATTGGATGTGCATTATTGTATTGTAGGCTTTTGTTTATGTTTCTTTTATGTTATACGCGCGAGTTGCATTTTGAGCTTTACTTATGCAGTGATATGTGTAATTGATTTACTACCTCAGTTCACTTTTGTGTCGCCCGTAGAACCTGCGTGCCTTAAACGCTGTGAATCTCTGCGAAATGATACAAAACGTTGAGCTGTTGATTTAATTCGCTCGTAGTAGGTCTTAGTTTCTTGGCTTTATTAGCTGATCGGCGATTTTCATCAGCGAGCGCACCAATTGTAAATTTGAGGGAGTCTATCAGAAAATGTAACCTGATGATGATTATGATGATAATTAGGATGATGATGATATGTGAAGTTTAACGTCCCAAAACCATCATATGATTATGAGAGATGCCGTAGTAGAGGGCAACAGAAATTTTGACCACCTGGGGTTATTTAACGTGCGCCCAAATCTGAGCACACGGGCCTACACTATTTCCGCCTCCATCGGAAATGCAGCCGCCGCAGCCTGGATTCGAACCCGTGACCTACGGGTCAGCAGCCGAGTACCTTAGCCACTAGACCACCGCGGTGGGGCCACAAAATGTAACCTGGCATTTCTCGAGGTCAGTTGAGTTCTCTGTTGTTCATCGGGTCTTGCATAGCTCGTTTCTGGCGTTTGCTGGCCATGGCTCAGGTCCACAGATTGGTGCAGCCTGCGTCAACGTCTACAAGGACGCATATCTACGGTCTCTGTGGAGTTCTTTAGTTCTGCAACCCCTTAAGCAATACGGTGACGGTGGACGGGCTGCTATGATCTGCCTCCCTGATATGGCACCGCTTGGACGTGAGACAGTTGCGAGATAGCGCTCCCAGAGGTGAACCACAAGCGACAACGACACGCAAGCCGTACTTATAATTTCGCTGCGCAGCCGTCTCCCCTCGTAGAACTTACCCGACAGACTGGCGACCTAAGAAGGGCTGTTTACACTCGAAACGACTTTAAGAGGGTGGTTATCTCGGTACGTCTCTGTTCGTCGGAGTGCCGCGGACAATAAATCAAGTGACTGAGATCCGTATTCGAGTTCCTTCCCACGTTCGCCGAGGTGCCACCATGCCACCGTCTCCACAAACCACGGCCCGCTTGGAACCGCCAACTCATCACTGCAACAGGCTACACAGTTGATTTTCACGTAGGACTCAACGTCTTCGTGCTGTGTTGTTTAGTGTGCGGTGTGCAGTGTTTTCTCTCTCGCCACGGGCTGAACTGGTCGTGCCTCTTCCCCATTTCGTGGGCTGGGAAGGAGGCGGCATTTCATTTTCTCCTTTCGGGGGTGCAGGCGATGGCGAAATTCATTAGAAGGTCCTAGCCTTCATTTTTTTTTCCCGCAGGGAAACCTGGGAAGCCCAGGACATAAAATACGAGCCCCGAGGCGCTCCCGACAAGCTCTCACAAGCAGCGAGAAGCTCACAGATGCTCGAGGGCTTCCATGATGCTTACCCTATCATGTAGCAACACGCTACCTGTAAATATTGTAAATAAAAGTTGCTGCTAATAGCACCGAACTCCTCTCCTCGACAGCTCCTCAAGACTCTGGCTGGCTCTGGTCCTCTGAGCAAACCCCTGGTTACATCAGCACCAATTACCACAAGCCAAAGTAAGGCAACCTAGTGGGGCAAGAGACAACCTCCCGCTTTTCGCTTGATATTATGACCACGACGCACCACCATTCAAATTTCGTCACTTGTTTGTAGCGGGTAGTTTTGGTTCGACCTAACAGTTGTAGCATTGCGTGCTTTCCAGAAGCCGTCAATTTGGGTGACGTCCTTTCATTTGGACAACGAATCTGTAAATAATTGAAGTTTCTTGATTAAAAAAAGGTATGTCCTAAGTTTTTATGCAGTCCAACTTCTTATAAGTATGAAAGAGTTCCCTCAAATGAATAATTCCAGTTAAGTAACTTTTTTTGTCGCAACAGTCATTTCACCTGGGGCAGTGTGTACGCGTTTCGACCTAACGTTCCCGTGAGAAAACGGCAAGATCCTTACTGGCAGAGTCCCTGTACAATGTGCATTCTGTGAAAATCAGACCACAGGAGGAGCGGACAGAACTTCGATTGAAACCGATGAAAATGATTTTTTGAATTGTGTGAGGTCATGACGGCCCTGTGTACGAAACAGCCATTGCTCTCCTAACGACCCTTGGTTCTTAAAGTGCGCAAGTGTAAACATGAATTTGGCTAGAAGAGTGGCACAGCTCAGTGAGGTGGAGACGCGTCGACAAAATAGATGACTGAGCTAGTTAGTGTGGCATGCCTAATAACTCAAAAATTGCCGACAAAGTGGCTATAGTATTTTCCCAAAATGTAGATATGTTATCAGAGACTCGCAGTCGGGAGGGGAAAGGTGGTGGGAGAGGGACAGACTGTTTAGGTTCAGCAGACGTTATCCAATTCTACGAAACGTTGAGGAGCACATTTCCACCGCCTGGTTTCAAATTACAGATCTTAAGGTTTGTTTATTGTTGTTAAGATGAAGAACCTTAAGAATAAAGTTTTCTTAAATACGATGGTCTCTTTATGGGACCTTCGACGCAAAAATTTTCGTCTGTTTGTCGTTGGTCTTGTCTGTTTGCTCAAACGATACCTTAAAAGGCCAAAATCTAAACCCACCCGCAGCGCCCACCAATAATTCTCAAGTTTCATGTTTTATACTTGTGCGATTGTCGACTTAAAAGCAATAATTGCACATACATGAGGCACAATAACAACCCGTCAATATTCTGCACGTACATCTTACGTGCAAAAGGCATACATAAGTAATTCTAAAGACCGTAGCGTTTATTACGTTGCGGTGACAATGCAACACTTGCACGCAACGACAGGTGTTTCCAACTCTTCGGTAAGACGCTTTAGCTAAGTCGACACGGTGGTGGACCTACCCGTCGCCTTGCGTTCTACCGTCGCCTTGCGTTATACACCTCATCACCTCCGAGACGAGTGCGGATGCCGCGCACTTCGTTTTCCAAGATAAGTGCTTGATAGCGCTCATGTCTCATGTGTGACGTGCCTCGATGCGCTCCTTCGCCTCCGCTGCACGTCTAGGGGCTTTAGCTGCACGCTTAACGCAGCACCTCCAGAAAAGCAGTCACCGATTTTCTCGCACAGAACCTCAAATAAACGTTTTGTTCTCTCACTCCAGACACAAGACATTTGCAGTGAAACATGCAGATACGGGGCCAATTTTTTTACGCAGTTTGCAAAACAAAAAAAGAAAAGAACAAAAGGAGACTACAAAAAATATACACGCAGGGCCACCGCTAGCCTTTGGAAGCAGCGGGTGCGTAAAAAACCAGTCTGCTGCCCTGGCAGACAGATCTGCTTCCTAGTATGCAGGGGTTTGCACTGCAGAGAACTATGGTAGTTTTTCTGGTTGTTTCCTTTTATTTTATCTTTCTTCCCGTTATTTTTTAGTAAGTGTTCACGCAAGTGACACGGTTTCATGAAATAAACTTTCAGCGTGAGGTAGCGTTGATGGAGACGGAATAATTCTCACTCTTTCGTGAAGACCGAAGCAAGCGGCCTCCTGTGGGCGTGTCGTGTACTTCCAGTCGAGAGCAGTTCCTTGCACCGTCGCCGCTATCAGGGGAATGTCGGCAAGCTCGCCTTCCCAGCCACCAGCCTCCAGTAGAAGCACGGTCACGAAGGGATTGGCGCTGAGCCTATTGGCGAGCACACAGCCAGCAGATCCCGCACCCACTGCGTTTCGGACGAAAACATGTAAAATGTGAGTGCGAATATTGAAATCTTGTAAGAGACCTATAAAATTGTCCCATTTCTTATCGGTAATTAACAATGAAAACTTCCGAAAAAAATATGGTTGTGGGATTGCTCACAGAACCATGTATGTGGCATAGAAAACATATGTCGTCTACGAGATCCCGTTCAGCTGTCGCAACGTAATACTGTAACGCTACCAAGCGGAATTCAGGAGCGTTTTCTTCCACTCCTAAGTCACTTTTGTATTTATTGTATATTATCATTCAGCAAAACAAATATAAAAGCGCAGTTTTTTTCTTGTGCATTGCATTTAGCGCAATTATTGAGTACATTATTGAGAGTCTCGTGCAGCCACCACGCTCGGCTTCGGACAGCTAAGCGAAATGGTCTGAACAACTAAACGCGCAGTCACTGCCACAATTCACCCTTCTCGGCTCTTCAGTGGTACCTTTCGAAAGGAATAGTTGTTCAACGTGGCGGAAATATTGCGATTGTATTCTATTCGAACTTGCAACGTCCGAGTACAGTTAACTGCGCACGGCTAGAGTCCCAGCACGGCTGTGATACAAGCACTACTAAATTGGATGTTCAGTGTCTGTTTCCTTGAAAATGCACCTCCGTGTTCCTTCACATCTCCGAAAGTAATGACAGCGTAATATGTGTTAACCATCACGATAGTAAACATTCCATACCATGCAGCAGCGATGGTGCTTTCACCAGATGGTCTTTTACTTCAGCGAATCCATCAAGCAGGCTCGGTACTTATTGCTTCGGAGTGCCGTTCGGTTCACAAATCAATGCTAGTACAAGCAGTTTTTTGACGCACGCGCAAGGTTTTACAAAGCATCGTTGACATTTTATACACGGCTTTTGTAACGTCAGTGTTCTGTCATTCACGTTTTTTTTTCTTCTTTGCGTTAAAATAGGCTACCTTGCCAATTAGGCCGGCTTCTTCAGTTGTATATCATGAGTTTTGGAGAATGATGTAAGGCCAACGTGAAGAGCCAAAAGAATAGATGGTCTGAAATAGTGAAGTTGTTGGGTCTCTTTTACAGCTAGCACCATGGCGAATCTCGAAATGAGCTTGATTGAAGGCACCCAAATTGCTGTAAATCCCTTTACACTGTTTTTATCTTACAAAAATAAATCGTGTGGTGTCCTAATATGACCACCGTATGACCTCTGTAGCCTTTCTTTTGCTGCCAGATGTTTTATTCTGGCGCCGACATCATCGCATGCACGTTTTCTATGTAAAGTGGCAAAAAAGTGGCACTCTGCCGGAATGTTGTGGTCCTGCTCGTGGTATCAAAACTTCAGAGAGTTCTTTTTGTTTTTATATTGAGAGAAAGCTTCTTAAGAAAAATAATGGTTCTTTTTCTCTTTTGGCAGACCTCGTTTCACTAACTCCAGTACTTCGGACTAAAATGCGTGTACTGCGACTGTGTCATGCTCTGGACAATCAAATTACGGCAAAACATCACACAGAAACACCTCCACGGGTGCGCTCCTGGTCAATTAGGTGGAAAACTAAAGGGTGCACTGTGACCTGTTTATTCATCCAGTGGTACAACTGAGGCACGTCCTGAAGTATAAAAGTGATTTTCTACGAAATACATCACCACAGACGCCTCATGAGCACTTAATCTTGACCTACTTTCTCTAAAGTACCTGGACTGATTCTTGATAACAAAATGATGTGTCCAGCTGGTTGCGCATGTCTGCATACATTTCATAAAATTCGTCGTATGTGAGAAGACTGGAGCAGTGAACTCCGCCTACTCAGTGCTGGACACGTATGCTTTCTCTGCGCACAAAAATACGGGTGAGGCTTTGCTGAAGCATATTCACATCATAAGTTGTGCCAAGGCTGGATGCGCGTTAGCTAAACACGCAGTCTTCATCAGTAAGCCTGCATACCAACGTAACCAAGAGCTTTTCACTTGATTGATTTGTGGGGTTTAACGTCCCAAAACCACCATATGATTATGAGAGACGCCGTAGTGGAGGACTCCGGAAATTTTGACCACCTGGGGTTCTTTAACGTGCACCCAAATCTGAGCACACGGGCCTACAACATTTCCGCCTCCATCGGAAATGCAGCCGCCGCAGCCGGGATTTGAACCCGCGACCTGCGGGTCAGCAGCCGAGTACCTTAGCCACTAGACCACCGCGGCGGGGCAAGAGCTTTTCACTTGTTCGTTTGAGGAGCCTGGCATGAAAAGCATTAACTTAAAGTTTTTTTTTTTTTTGGATCGTGGACACGCACACTGTGCGCGTGCCACTCCGACCAGGCAGGACACAGTGACCAGAACGCAGAAAGACGAATGTGGAGGATGCACACTTTGAATTGAAGGTCCTTTTGCCCTGTGGCATGCATCTATGTGAGATTCATCGAAATTAGACGCTTGTTTGCCTTACAACGTGCCCTTTTTTCCTGGTAAGAAATACGACAACGAATCATCCTGATAGAAGTCCCTCATTGATGATTTTACTTCTTCGCTGATTGAGCGGTCTTGTTTTTTATCTCGTGTACTCAGAATTCCATTGCAAGCCTTTATCTTCAAGGCTTCGCGAACATGCGGATGCGCCAAGAGAACTGCATGGTTTTCTCACGAGATAAGACTGCGGGGCCAATGTAAGGCACTGAAGCTTGTTTTCCTGTGCTTTGTTCTTGCAAAAACTTCTTTTGAAGTTTCACGTCAAGTTGACGTAATCACTGAAAACGAGGCCAAAGTCATGATGTAGATGACGGACCAATTTCTGGCAATGTAGGCACGCTCTTTGTAGTTTCTGGCCTAATTCCTTATCCAAGCTTCTTTCAACAATATTACACCCGTTTCTCTTCGCTACTAGTATATACGTCTGAAAACTTTTCATCTGTTTCAGCAGCTGACCCTTCAGATGCACATTCAGTTCCTGTGGACAGCGCAGGAAGCTCTTGTCCTGGGTGCCCATTCTTGAGCAGTATATAACATACGTCTGTATGCTTCACAAATTTTACTTCCTGGACCAAGGTCATAAAAATGGTTGGGAATCTACAAGGGCCATTGTGATGACTGTCGACCCACGACAACATTTTCTATGTCGAAAAAAAAAGTGGGTCCGAACACAGCTTTGAAACCATTTTCGAAATGTATCGGCGAAGAGAAAGTACCTTGTGGTGCTCACAAATCGCCACACCACGAGCGCTTCGGTTCTTGTGCAAGATATATGTGAAGCTGCTGCGATATGTCCTCACGGATGAACCTTCCTTGGCTGCCGGTGTCAAGCAGCAGTCGCACTGATACGCGCCCACCGGTTCTGAATGCCCAAATTGTGGCTGTTTAGAGCCACACAGACGACGAGCGCGTGCTGCTTGCAGAAGCCGTTGTTACACGCTTTTCTCGCTTTTAGGTCACCTCTAGGGGCTCAGTTGGAGTGAACTGTGGACTGTCAGTTCCTCGTTGGCCCCAGATCTCACACAGAGCAGAAATATGGCATCTGGAGCACAGGACGCACTTAATCCAGGGTGCGGTACGGCAACTGCGAGCAATGTTCTTGCTTCCCGCGCCTGAAGCAGCTGCTGTTGCTGGAAAGACGTTGACGCTTGTTTTCTGCTGATAGCTTGACCCGAAAATAACGCGTCATGTGTCCCGAGATGCCACAGAGGGGATATACAGTCTGTTTAGGCCTTTAATTCGAACCTGCCAATGATGACCGTGCTCTCAGTGCTAATGCGGATGGCAGATAAGGTGGCGTGATGGTGTTCTCAGTATTATTACGGTTCGGTGACAGGCTTGCTGACGCAGGTTTCTCGCGTGATTCGTTACTCTCCTCTGTGCTTTCGACTTCAATTTGAAGGAACTTCAGGACTGCCTTCTTTTTCTCGTCTCTCGACTGGACTACAGATTCCGCGGCATCTGTCTCTGTTTTCATGCGCCTTCGATACTAGATCACCAGGTCCTCTGGCATTGAGCGCATGAGAACCCGTTGCAGAACAACCGCGTATTTGGAAGACTCCTCGCAACAGGCTCCTCGTAGCAGATAGCGAAGCGCGAGCGAAAGTGGAACGTGAAGCTGTCGTCCACGCAGATGTTGAAGTACTCTAAAATGCAAAGACAAGAACGACTAGTTTTTTCTCCATGCCCAATTGTCAAGGTTTATTATATTAGCAGACGTGCCTGAAAGAGCGCTATGTTGTGCTTTATGTTGCGCGAACCATAGCAGCCACCCGGAGATCAGCGGATGGTGCGGCTCTCATCAAGTTGAGCGTAACGTAATTATTGTTGTTCATTGTCTAAGCGACCAGCTGTGACAACATTTTTTATGGCTAACAGGGAGCACTCCAATGGTTTTTGTAGGTTCTGTGAAAATACGTAACGGCAGGATTTTGCTGTATCCGTGCGAATCGTGCAGTGGGATCTGCTCACATTGTTCACGTTACTTATTCTCGTTTGAGTTAAATGCTGAAAAGAAAGTCGAGAAAACGTCGATTAACATATAGCCAAGCAGATTGAGTACGTGTCACAGCACGTTCGCGGAAACCGACCCTCGCAAGCACATAACTGAGTTATGCACGTGTCGCGACACACTTCGGTAGCGGGCAAGCCCAGTCGGAACAGAATTTTTTCGCTGGGTCATCTGCGCAAGTTTCGGAAAGGAGCCAATTGGGCTTGAGATATTCACCTTCGAACAAAGCCTGCAAAGTATACTTCGGGTTATTACTTCACAGCAGCTGCTTCTTTCGCAGTCACACATTCAGTGGCTCAACACGGGCGAGCAGTTCTGTTAGGTGTGAAACTATGGCGGTAGTGTCAGATCTAGGTGTTTATACAACATGCCAGTTTGGTATCGAAGTTCAATACCAGTCACGGGGGTCGCATTTCGATGGAGGCAAAAAAAAAAAAAATACGAGAGGCCCGTGTACTGCAAAATGCCCGCGCACGTTAAACACCAGATGGTTGACATTTCAGTAGTCCATCACCGTGGTGAAACCCTAG